AGACTATAGACTAGACTATAGACTAGACTATAGACTAGACTATAGACTAGACTATAGACTAGACTATAGACTAGACTATAGACTAGACTATAGACTAGACTATAGACTAGACTATAGACTAGACTATAGACTAGACTATAGACTAGACTATAGACTAGACTATAGACTAGACTATAGACTAGACTATAGACTAGACTATAGACTAGACTATAGACTAGACTATAGACTAGACTATGACTAGACTATAGACTAGACTATAGACTAGACTATAGACTAGACTAGACTATAGACTAGACTATAGACTAGACTATAGACTAGACTATAGACTAGACTATAGACTAGACTATAGACTAGACTATAGACTAGACTATAGACTAGACTATAGACTAGACTATAGACTAGACTATAGACTAGACTATAGACTAGACTATAGACTAGACTATAGACTAGACTATAGACTAGACTATAGACTAGACTATAGACTAGACTATAACTAGACTATAGACTAGACTATAGACTAGACTATAGACTAGACTATAGACTAGACTATAGACTAGACTATAGACTAGACTATAGACTAGACTATAGACTAGACTATAGACTAGACTATAGACTAGACTATAGACTAGACTATAGACTAGACTATAGACTAGACTATAGACTAGACTATAGACTAGACTATAGACTAGACTATAGACTAGACTATAGACTAGACTATAGACTAGACTATAGACTAGACTATAGACTAGACTATAGACTAGACTATAGACTAGACTATAGACTAGACTATAGACTAGACTATAGACTAGACTATAGACTAGACTATAGCTAGACTATAGACTCGACTATAGCTAGACTATAGACTAGACTATAGACTAGACTATTAGCTAGACTATAGACCTAGACTATAGACTAGACTCTAGACTTACTATAGACTAGACTATAGACCTAGACTATAGACTAGACTTAGACTAGACTATAGACTACTATAGACTAGACTATAGACTACTATAGACTATACTATAGACTAGAACTATAAGACTATAGACTAGACTATAGACTAGACTATAGACTAGACTATAGACTAGACTATAGACTAGACTATAGACTAGACTATAGACTAGACTATAGACTAGACTATAGACTAGACTATAGACTAGACTATAGACTAACTATAGACTAGACTATAGACTAGACGATAGACTAGACTATAGACTAGACGATAGACTAGACTATAGACTAGACTATAGACTAGACTATAGACTAGACTATAGACTAGACTATAGACTAGACTATAGACTAGACTATAGACTAGACTATAGACGTAGACTATAGACTAGACTATAGACTAGACTATAGACTAGACTATAGACTAGACTATAGACTAGACTATAGACTAGACTATAGAATAGACTATAGACTAGACTATAGACTAGACTATTAGACTCGACTATAGACTAGACTATAGACTAGACTATAGACTAGACTATAGACTAGACTATAGACTAGACTATAGACTCGACTATAGACTAGACTATAGACTAGACTATAGACTAGACTATAGACTAGACTATAGACTAGACTATAGACTAGACTATAGACTAGACTATAGACTAGACTATAGACTAGAATATAGACTAGATATAGACTAGACTATAGACTAGACTATAGACTAGACTATAGACTAGGACTATAGACTAGACTATAGACTAGACTATAGACTAGACTATAGACTAGACTATAGACTAGGACTATAGACTAGACTATAGACTAGACTATAGACTAGACTATAGACTAGACTATAGACTAGACTATAGACTAGACTATAGACTAGACTATAGACTAGACTATAGACTAGACTATAGACTAGACTATAGACTAGACTATAGACTAGACTATAGACTAGACTATAGACTAGACTATAGACTAGACTATAGACTAGACTATAGACTAGACTATAGACTAGACTATAGACTAGACTATAGACTAGACTAGACTAGACTAGACTAGACTAGACTATAGACTAGACTATAGACTAGACTATAGACTAGACTATAGACTAGACTATAGACTAGACCAGTCTATAGTCTTGCCTATAGTCTATATTCTAAAATTAGTTTAATCCATAGTCTAAAAATTAGTTTTGTGCTTTAAAACCCAAAAAGCACTATTTTTCTTTTAAGTTAGTACTATTTAAAAATTTAAATTTTCCATGCCTGATACTTCGTTTTAGCCGTATTCTTCTGTAACACATTTGCGTATGTACATATGTATATGAGTTTTTCAATGTGGGAGAATCCATCTGAAAGCGGACAGCAGTCGGATTTACCATCTCCGATTTTAATGAAACTTACCACACATATAATATATATAATATGTTCCACATATCATTGACTTTTTGAGTGGAATCTCATTCCAATGTAAAAATATCACGATTTGAAAATTGAAAAATATGTTAAAATTTCCTAAAAGTACATACACATAATTGCCCGTAACTCTGAAACTACTTAAAGTCCAACATAATTTTTGATTTCATATTAAAGAAAAAGATCTTGTCTTTAAAATCGTGTAAACAGAATATTTCACTTCCAAAAGGTTAAAGGTCAATTTTCATAGTGTATAATTCAATGTCAAATAGGTCAGACAGCCCCGTGTTAAACATTATAAAAATACATGGTATGAGAATACCTAAACTCTCTTCTATATTTAAGTGAAAACTTTTCGATGGAGACTCGTGTAGTTCAGGAGTTATTAACCAAAACGTAATTTAAAACCAGTTTTTTATACAAGATCGTATGAAAAATTAAACAAACAGAAAAAATATAGATTAGAATCAATTTCAATTTATATGGTAAATTACATTGCATCTCATAAACCACTGGTCCGATTTAAATGAAATGTGCAAGAAAATTATGAAGGACGATCAGGCCTTACTGGAGGTATCCTTTGTCATCACAATATTAAAATAAAAGGTGGAAAACAGCGTTTAAGAAGTTAACTCTTCGACTTCAAAAATTATTTTAAAGCTTCTATCATCTATAAATGAGATCAAATTTAACTGATCATAAACTTTTCGTAATCTATACAACACAGTAAAGCTAGATCCATATTGCAATACTAATTAAATTTAAGGGTTTAGGAGATATAATTTAAATAAAGTAGTAAACAAAAGTTAAACAATTAAACTAAAATAATTTTTCAATTTTACTTATAACTTAGTACTACCATTAAGTTTTATAATACCCATAATGTCTACTATAAGAAAAATTTAACTTCAGCCAAATCGGTCCTTATTTGCAGATTTGTGAAGCTTTAATATTTTTTTATAATCGAAGTACTCTCATTTAACACCACGTACCCCACCTTGTATTTTAACACGGCGGTAACAAGGTAATTTTTCAGTAAGGTTAAATCGTTCTTAATAATTTTCTTGTATATATTATTTAAATTGGTCCTGCAGTTTAAGAGATACATAGCATTTTCCATATAAATTGAATTGATTCCACTTTATATTTTTTCTGTTTGTTTAATTTTTCATACGATTTTGTATAAAAAAACTTTCTTTAAATGACGTTTTGGTTAATAACTCCTGAACTACACGAGTCTCCATCGAAAAAATTTCACTAAAATATAGAAGAGAGTATAGGTATCCTCATACCATGTCCTTTTATAATTTTTAATACGGAGCTGTCTGATATATTTGGAATTGAAAAATACACTATAAAAATTGACCCTTAACCTTTTGGAAGTAAAATATTTTATTTACACGATTTTAAAGACAATATCTTTGGCTTTATAACGAAATCAAAAATTATCCTGTACTTAAAGGAATTTCAAAGTTATGGGCAATTATATTTATATACTTTTAGACAATTTTAACATATTTTTAAATTTTCAAAGCGCGATATTTTTGGTCTGGAACGGGATACCGATCAAAAAGTCATTGATTTAGGGAACACTTTCAAACCATAAAATATGTGGGAAATTTCATTAAAATCGGAGATGGTAAATCCGAAAATTGCTGTTTTCTGTCCGTTTTGATATGGATTCACCCATGTCTCTATATTTGTTCCTATGTACATAATTTTTCACTTTATTGGCATTATAGGTTATTATTTCTAATATGCCGCTGTTCGAGTTGTTTGCTGTTAACAGTTTGTAGCAATTTTCAGTTGTTGGCATTCATAAGTCTGATCGTGTTGTTTATGCAACTTTTTTAACTTCCTAAATATGTATATGCACTGAATTGTGCTGCTTTTGATGTCAAAGTTTTTAGTTTTCTGCATTAATTAAAAAACATTTGAATTTAGAAAAGCAGTTTTACTTTTTTTCGTTCTTTTATAATGAAGGAAACTATGCAATGAGGTTTTTAGAAGCATATGGTTTCTAGGGAAAATGATAAAATTTGACTGAAACTGAGTTATTTCGCTGCCCTCTTTTAAGCCCTATATTTGAATAAAAAAACGTTTTGGGTCTCGTAGCGACCGTTCAAGAGCTGGACTGAATTCAATCCCAGCATATTTTGCGCCCCTTTAGATTTTGAGCTGTTTCTCTCGGACCCAATGTATCAACTGTTCTTTCGTCTGTTCTACTAACTTTTTCTCTGTGTGTCCGGCTCTCTGACCGTCTGTCCGAAATCATGACATACGAAAAGATAGAGTGCTCAAGATGCCCACAATTTTGTGGGATTTTTGTAATTGCTCGTTATAGTTTTAAATTCTGATATTCTCTTCGATAGTTAAACTCTAAAATAAGCTCTCAAGAAAGAACAAGCACTTTCGGAGACTACAAATCCGCAACCGAAAAAAATCTTAAAAATCCAAGAGCTCAGAGATGCAATTGAACGTAATGTGCACTTATGATCGCATATGTACATCAATATATTTACTTAATAGTGTTCTTTAATCTACAACATTCATGATCAAGAAATTCCAAACCATCAATTATCACTTGCCATTCCACCCACACAACGAAAAAAAATTATTACATAAACAGCAATGTAATTAAAACGTTAAAAACACTTTAATTGCCCATACACGTAAACATATAGAAAACTACACAATTTGTTAGATAAACTAAACGATTAGAATTACAAAACAGCAAAATAACAAGTGTAATTTCAAAACATTTCTCCAACTGGTTTAATGGTCAACTCGTGCACTTGAACATGTGGTGGAGTAGAGAGACAATACATAACACCAGCTGAAATATCCTCAGCTTTAAGCATTTGCATTTTTTTATAAATGTCCGGTACAATTTCCGTATCCACTAGACCAGGACTAACGCTCTAAAATTACAAAAGGGAGAGAGAGGGAGAAAGATAGAAGATACAAAATAATTGAATTTTTGTAAAACACACAAACAAGCAACAACTCGCCAGTTACCGTTATTTTAATTTTCGTTTTCAATTCACGAAATTCTTGACGTAAAATTTCTGTTAATCCTGTTACAGCATACTTGGTGGGTGGATATATATTAAAGGTGGGCACCGAACCGGGTGGTGGATTAAAAATATAATGGCCCACTACACTGTTTATCAATATGACATGACCGTGATTAACATTGGCCTTTTGCATTGATTGGAACGCACGTCGTGTACAATAGACAATACCCATGACATTTGTTTGCAATGTTTGCTGTAATGTATCAATTTCTAGGGTTAACAATTGGCCTGATGTATAGGTGCCAGCATTGTTAATCAATATCTCCACAGTGCCTAGGTGCTTTTCAATCCAATCGAAGGCTTCATTTACTGACTGCATATCGGAGACATCGCATTTAATGGCATGCAAACGATTTTGTTGTTTGGCCGGTAGGGAGGCACGAATTTCATCGACTCGCTCTTTGCGACGCGCCAAACCAACCACAACCAGACCAGCTGCAATCAAATCTTTTGTAACGGCAGAACCTATACCCGAACTGGCGCCGGTGACAACAGCAACACGATTTTGCCAACGTTCCATTATTTGTTATTGGATGGGGGCACAGGCACAAGAAAATTAAAAATTATGTTTTTTTAATTGTATTTTTTTTTTATTAAAGTATCCGCTTAAGAACAAGATGTAATTGTTGATGATGTTACTTTGAATTCACGAATGCAACTGAAAAGCTATATCTCATTGTGTGCGGTTTAAATGTACAAATTATTCATATTTGCATGAATGTGTGTGAGTGATTGTGTTCTTTTTTTTATTTTGTCGTATTAACAAATGTGTATATTAATATCATTTTATTTAGAACGAATAGCAATTAATTTTATTAACCCTTTAAAAAAGGTTAGTAAATTTACTGAAAAATTTAAAAAAAATTTTTAAAGAATTTTTTATGGCTTCTTTTTTCCCAAAAAAAAACTAAAAATGATCTATTATGTTATGAATTTTCAAATTTAAAATCAATTACTTTATAATCGAAATTTTCGTTGTCTTAACTGACAAATTTTTAGTAAAATCGGTTCTTTATTTCCAATTTTCTCCGCTTTTTGTTTAATGGAGTTAATCGTTTTGGCAAGTGAAGTGTCAAAATGTAAGTGCATTTTTTATATTTTTAAAATAATACAATAAAAATTAAATTGATATAACATACAAACATACATAAATATGTACATATGTATTGCATAATTCATGTTATCACATTTCAAACTATTTATACTCCCGTATATGAGAATATTACATGTCATTATTAATAACAGACCATTTGCAAGCAAAAACAATTGTTTTTGCTCATTCTAATCGCACATTTCATTTCAGCAGCAGTTGCTTGAATAATAATCAAAATGAAATTGCAAAATGTGTGGTGAGAATTTTGCTTTTTTATTATTATTATTACTTGCCCAGACCGGCAATTTAATAAACAAAATGGAAAGTCACTATAAACAATTTAAGTTGTATATATGTATATAGGTATAGCTCATTTAGGTATTGCATTAGTTTACTAATAAAGTGTTTTATATTTGCATAAATTAATAAAACTAAATATAAACTGTAATTTGTAAAGATCATGGTTTTTGCAAGCAAAAGACGCCAAATTAGTTGTAGTTTCTTACATATGCTTGAAATTAAGAAAATATTAAAAATCTTCAATAATGACTTTAAATTCCCATAAAAAATATATTTTTTATCAGATAAACCTAATTTCGGCTGTAGTTCTTAAAATTCAATTTTTCTATTTTTAACTTAATGTTATTACAAAATAAAAACCCAAAATAAAATGTGTAATTTTCTTAAAAGAAATCTCAAATTTATTTAAAATCCCTTTTTATAAAAAAATTGCATTTAATACCTTTATTTAGTTATTTTTGTTATAGCTTTTGTAGTCTCAATTGTATTTCAAATAGAAAAATAAACATAAAATTTAATGTTACACTAATTTTGTTGAATAAAAATTGTTTTATTTAAGTTTCCCTCAAATCTTTGCAGATTATGAATGTGATTTTGTTTTTCAGTTTTTTTTCTTGTTCTTTGTATATTTTCTACGTTTTCCATTTTATTTGTTCAAATGCTTTCGTTTTAAGCCTAATAAAGTGTTTACTTCTTTAACATCTATTTGACTAAATTACAAACGAATATAAAAATACTTCGTTACAGACATACATACATACGTATGTATTTATGCATGTATGAGAGTTATGCTATGTGTAGGAGGGAAGAAGCAGTACACAAATGTGTAAAGAGTAAAATAATCCCAAACAGAAGTGTAAATGGATTACTTACAACAAATTTTTAACCGTTTAAATTTACCCAAGAAAAAAAACTTGGTAATGACTTAACTAACTAACTACTAACTAACTAACTAACTAACTAACTAACTAACTACTACTAACTAACTACTAACTAACTAACTAACTAACTAACTAACTAACTAACTAACTAACTAACTAACTAACTAACTAACTAACTAACTAACTAACTAACTAACTAACTAACTAACTACTAACTAACTAACTAACTAACTAACTAACTAACTAACTAACTAACTAACTAACTAACTAACTAACTAACTAACTAACTAACTAACTAACTAACTAACTAACTAACTAACTAACTAACTAACTAACTAACTAACTAACTAACTAACTAACTAACTAACTAACTAACTACTAACTAACTAACTAACTAACTAACTAACTAACTAACTAACTAACTAACTAACTAACTAACTAACTAACTAACTAACTAACTAACTAACTAACTAACTAACTAACTAACTAACTAACTAACTACTAACTAACTAACTAACTAACTAACTAACTAACTAACTAACTAACTAACTAACTACTAACTAACTAACTAACTAACTAACTAACTAACTAACTAACTAACTAACTAACTAACTAACTAACTAACTAACTAACTAACTAACTAACTAACTAACTAACTAACTAACTAACTAACTAACTAACTACTAACTAACTAACTAACTAACTACTAACTAACTAACTAACTAACTAACTAACTAACTAACTAACTAACTACTAACTAACTAACTAACTAACTAACTAACTAACTAACTAACTATAACTACTAACTAACTAATAACTACTACTAACTAACTAACTAACGAACTAACTAACTAACTAACTAACTAACTAACTAACTAACTACTAACTAACTAACGAACTAACTAACTAACTACTACTAAATAACTACCTAACTAATGTTAGATAATGGAATGTAACAATTAATTACCAAATGTTCACATGGATGTCAAGGTTCTTCGTGCAAAATTTTAACTCTAATAGTTTTTCAGCTATACGAACTTTCATATTCAATCCGTATGGGAGGTACAAGGTCCTAAACATTCATGTTGATACTAAAGTGCCTCCGAAAAAATGAGGACTGTAGTTGTTATATTTTCTCAGATATACTAATTTAAAATTATCCATACAAAATTTGAGGATTCTAGCTCTTGCAGTTTCTGAGATATACAACTTTTAATACTTATTTTGTAAGAGGCCGTGGCAACTCGCTCACTTCAAATTTTGAACTAAAAATTAAACTATATTTCCTTCCAGACATACAGGTAGACACTGTGAAAATTTCTGAAAAATCGGTTCACCCGTTTAGCTGTCTATAAAATCCAAACAAAACAATATTACAAAAGTTTTCATAGTTTGGTGAAATTAGAAAAGGTTTGCTTAAATAATATTTCGTATAATACACGAAATTTTCGTAAATATTACGAAAAACCTTTTATAAATTTTTATAAATTTAAGCATGAATTGTTTTCAGTGTAAACACTATAACACATATATTAAAATATCAAAATATAAAATCAGCATTTCAAAAGTTTTAGTTGTTTTAAGTTAACGGGTTTTGCAATTTTTGAAAAAGGACTTCTTTTTATTTTAAGTTATCTAAGAAATTTCTTAAAATATAAAATTTTACTTTAGCGCAAATGTTCTTAATTCGCATAGTTGCTATCAAAAATATTATATTATTTCTGAAATAATTCAATATCTCGTAAAGTATTAAAGATATGCCTACGTAGCCTAAAGAGAAGATTCCACTCTTTCACACATCTGACTTACAGATGTAAAAAAAAGTTTGTTAGTATAAAGTAAGTAAGTAAATATGCAATCAGTGAATATATTTTAAAATGAAAAAACCAGCTTTTTCGAAAAGACTACAAGTATGTTGTTGTTTTATTTGTAAATCTACTTAATTTTATAAGAAAACGTGTGTAAATAAGATGTCATTCGTTTCCTTTATTTTAAGGAGTGAGGGGTGGCTCCAAACATCCTGATACATTCACACATGCAACATTTTACTACTCCGCAGGCATTCAAACAGACACTTAAAAAATCACACATACAAAGAAAATCTAAATATAGGCTTAGAATAGACAAATAGAAATATAAATGTAAAATAAATTTTAGATTCCCTAGAATATTTAGTTGAATATTGTGTGATAATATAGAGACAGATTTAGTTTTATTTGATGTGATGTGTATTTTTTTCGCATTTTGCATACCTTGACAGAAATTTCAATAAATGATCAAGGCAGTAAATTTTGTTTGTTTTATTAGCAATAAACGAGAAGTAAAAAAACATTTACTTCAAAACCCAAAAGGAAACTTCAAACCTGGAATCTTATAAAAAAAACTTAAATTTCAGAACAAATGCTAAAATATTGCAAAGTTGTTCAGTAAGATAGTGTTAAATAAATACTATTATAAATCAAAACATTTAATTATAGTTTTGCAGATTTTTTTTAATAGAGACCCTATAGGCGTAAAATTTCCCACAGGGTTTACATACCTGCATTTGGATAAATTCAATGATACATTTATTTGTTAGAAACTTTCCTTTTTTTCTGCATATTTTTTGTTCTTTGAAATTGTTTTATAATTTCTATTTATCTATTCTTTTACGCAATTGTGCGTTGAATATTTATTTTATCCTTATTTGGTTTACAGAAATATTCAAATACATGTAAGTTTGCCAATGTTGGAGTTTATCTGTTTGTTTGATTAACTGATTGGAAATATATTTGTTTACAATATAATTATAGTATTAATACAAAGAAAATCAAGTAAATATAAATATATTTAAGCATATAAGGGATATTTGAATATAATCACCCAAATAAAGCAAGTTAAATAAAAAAGTAAAGCCTATATTGAGAATGTGCTTGTTTACTTATCATTTTCCTAATCAATATCAAAGATTTTTCTAATCAATTTCAAATTAATTAAATAAGGGAATTAACGTTTTAAATAGACGAAGTATTTGTAATCAAAACACGTCATTTTTTTTAATTGCAAAGTAATATTTTTCTTTATTTTATAGAAAATTTTCAGTTTATTCTTTATTTGAAAATGTTCATTTATTCAGCTTAATCGTATACTACTTAATTAAAAAATACTTTCATTCGCATTCTAACATATAAATCTCATTTAATTGAGAATATTTTTGCAAAAATGATGGGGGGTATGTATATTGATTTTGTCATTCCGTTTGTAACACATCGAAATATTGGTTATAGACCTACAAAAGTATATATTCTGGTTCCTTATTAAATTCTAAGACGAACTAGGCTTGTCTGCCCGTCTGTCTATCTGTCTGTTGTAAGCACGAGCTAGAGGATTGAAATTTGTCACAAATATTC